TTCCTCTTCATTGAGGTTTCTTCTGAAAGAGGGTTCCAGACTCTTCGGGCCCCTAAAAGGACCATTTCTTCTACAATGGTAGAGTCTTTATTTGAGGTAAGATGATAAAGGGGTGGTCCCTTAGAGGAGTATATCCTATCCAGAGGTCAGACCAAAAACGCACTCTTGTACCTTCTCTAGGATGAAATCGGATGGTTTGTTTGAACAACGAGAGAGAGTAGGGAAAGGACTTCCATGCTCCTGAGGCCCTACTCAGGGAAATCCTTTCAGCCACCCATGTATGTTCCGAGATCCTGTATTTGCTGCGAATAACCTGGGCCCATAGAGAATTAGTCTGGGTGGCTATGCGCCCCCACCATTTCCCTAGTAGAGCCAAGTTGTGTTTTCTTAAGTCCTTGATCCCTAGCCCTCCTTGGGACTTGGGTAGTCGGACTTCATCCCAAGAGATAAGGTGATGTCTGGTTTTTTCAGCCTATCCAGACTAGCTCATAAGCTGGTCTAGATGATTGGCCACCGAGGCTGGCATGTGGAAGATATATATTAAGTACACCGGAGCATTAGCCAGTGTTGCTTTGACCAGCGTTGTGCGGCCAGCCAAGGAGAGGCATCTCCCTTTCCAACCTGCCAGACGCCTGTCCACTTTGTCTATGACTTCGGCCCACTGTCTCCTTTTAGGCTTTCCCAATCCCAATGGTATACCCAGGTACGTGGTGGGGAAATCCTCCACTTTACATTCCCAGTTTGGGATGAGTGCCCTGATTTCGTCGTTGGTAAGTCCCACCCCCATCATCTTTGATTTATCCATATTGACCTTAAAGTCTGTGGCTGTCTCGAAGCATTTGAGAAAGAGCCTCAGATTTTCAATTTCTTCTAGGGAGGCGTCTAAGAACACCAAGTTGTCATCTGCGTATTGCAGATGAGACACCTTTGGGCCATGTGACTGCATTTAAAGGAGTGAGGAGGCCTTCTTGGTACATTTGAGCGATTGAGCATTCTTGAACAGCATCCTTTTGCAATTCCTCCTCACCATCAAAGTTTCTACCAGAAATCTTAATTTCAAAATCAACAAAGAGACAGAATTATTTAAAAGAGATTTCGATGGAATAAATTCCCAAATGTCTTTCGAGTATGAAGAGTGAAACTACACCTAGACTGGATCGTTTTGGAGTAGAATTCTATAAATTTGGTTGGGAAATTATCTACCACTTATTCTCAACTCTCAAGGACTTCTTCAAAAAAGGTAAATGTTTAAGGAGGTAAATCCCACTTTCATGTGCCTGATCCCAAAAATTAAATAACCCCGTATTGTCTAAGATTTCAAGCTGATTGGTTTATGTAATGTATTCTACAAGATCACGAGTAAAATCATGGCTAATAAATTGCATACGGCATAGGATGCATTTATTCACCCTTGTTAAGAGACGTTTTTGACGGGTTGGCTCACTGCTGATAATGTCGGCTCATTACTGATAATGTTTTACTGGCTATTGAAATTATTTCCATGTGTCACAAAGCAGACTCCAAACCTAAAATGTGCCTCCAACTTGACCTTAGCAGTATCTATGACATGGTATACCACGACGTCTTATCGAAGAGACTATAGGATTTAGGTTTTCCTGATATTTTCTTAACCTGGGTGATGCATTGTATTAGCACTCATTTTTCGATCTTGGTGAATGGCTCCCCTAAAAGCTATTTCAGAAGCAAGCAAGGTTTCCAATAGGGAGACTCCTTATCTCCTTATCTCTTAGAGGAGGCTTTTAAGAATGGTTACTTGTCCACAGCATTCCCCTCTAGGTCAAAATATACAAATGATGTTTTGATATTTTGTAAGGTATCGACCAAGGCTGCAAGTTCGGTTCAAAATATTGTCGATTCTTTTTGTGATGCCACTAGTCTGAAGCTCAATGTTGCAGAAAAACAAGTCTATATTTTTTGGTGGGTGGAGCTCAAGTCGGCAATTAAATATATACACTATTTTGAGGAAGGCAACTTACCAAGAAAAATATTAGGCCTGCCTCTTTCCCATGGCTCGACAGTTGGTAAGATGATTGCTAAAATTGGAACCTGACAAGCGTCAACACTATCCTTTGTAGGCAAACAGCAGTTCATCAACGAACGAAGTCCATCGTCGATATATTGGACTCTATCCTTTCTTTTGACCACTCGCACATGCAATGTGCAATAATGGAAAGATGCCAACAGATTTTTCTTTGGGTTGGGACTTATGATAATAAGGGAATCCATCTCATTAATTGGAAAACAGTTTGCCTTAGGTTTGAAGTTTGAGTGGTCTTGGTATTAGAAACTTGCAGGATGTTAACCTAGCTAGTATGATGAAGCTAGCTTCAAGATAGGTTGCCGCCTATCTCAGGAGTCCTTTGTAGTACCCTACATAGCTAAGAAAAGAAGGCTTCTAGCTCATTTGAAAGGCCTCTATGCACCTGAGCCGCAACCAAGGCAAAGGAATATGGCTCAAACCTATCTTATCTTCCAATCTACATAGCTACTGAACCCTTCCTCCTTGTTCTCAAGATTCTTCAAACACAAGTACTTTAGAAACTCCTCTATATGGCTATCTAAAAGTAAGAATTGTTCTCATGCTTGGAAGGGTATTTCCACCAGTTTAAACAAATTCGAGCATAATGTCATGTGGCACTTCATCAATGTACAGTTGCATTTGGTATTCCTACCGTGTGACATCAAGCTTATCAGCCTATGTCCATTTCGTTCTTGAAAAAGCAAGAACCCATCATACAACATAAAGAATTTGTAGGATTCTAAAACAATACAAATGGGATTCTACGATTCTAAAAAATATATACATTTATTACTAACAATTATAGCCCACCATGCTCGTCTAGTACACAAGGTTGATTTCCATGATTGACTCAGGCATGCCATATTTCACTAATGGCTACTATAGTGGCATGCCATATTTCACTAATGGCTACTGTAGTGGCATGCCATATTTCACTAAGGGCTACTGTAATTCATAGCCAGCGATTTTTTTATGACAATTTAAAACTAGAAAAAGAAATACTCATTCTGAACAAGTCAATGATCCTATGGCTTCCAATAAGTGTTTGGGCATGAAAATGTAACTTAGAATCATTTGCATAGAAAATATTATTTTGGTCACAACACTATTAGCACTTTCCTGATGATATTTCCCATGACAACAAAAGAATAAGTATAGTTATACAGCTAAATCAAATTCACACCATTGTATTGAATGTCTTAATTATATATACCAGTGTTTAAAAACTCGCCTAGTCGAGACGGACTCGCCCAGTTCGACTCGGGAATCGTCTGATACCGAGCTGATTCCACGAAAAAACCGGCAATCGCCCGTGTCCAGAGAGAACCGGGCGATTCCCAATAGTGAATTGCGAGTCTCACCGAGAGTGACACGTGGCAGCCTCACAAGAGTGACACGTGGCAACTAAAAATCTTCCACATGTGCTAATTCACCTCACTCGTAAGCCCCCCTCTCTTTTCTATACGCGCAGCTGATGGACTAGTACACAGCATTTTAAAGAGAACAAAGGGTCACTCATCTTTCGATGTGGGATAATTCCCCCAAAAAACCATTCAAGCAAGATGATTGAATATGTATTATATTATAGAAGCTAATGAATCACATCCGGCGATGTAGTGGTGTTGGTTGACAACCTTGATATTCAGACGGGCGTCTTGAGTTCGAACCCCCCGCTCGTCGTCGTTTATATAATACAACAATTTTTTAAGATAAAGATAAAAAATATAGATAAAGATAAAAAATAAAAAGCTTTTCAAGATAATGAATAAAAAGCTTGAAATAAAATAGAAAAAATAAAAAGTTTTTCTTGTTGTAAAAAAAGCTTAAAAATAAAAAATAAAAAGCCTTTCTAGATAAAGATAAAAAATAAAATACAACATTTTTTTATTTTTCTTGTAAAAAAAATACGAGGTAATATAAAAAGTATTTCTTAAAAAAAAATAAAACAAAAGCCATAAAAAAATTTTGACAACAAAAATAAACAAAGGCAGAAAATACTTTTGTAAAAAATTAGAAAAAATAAAAAATAAAAAGCTTTTCAAGATAAAGATAAAAAATATAATACAACATTTTTTTATTTTTCTTGTAAAAAAAATACAAGGTAATATAACAAGTATTTCTTGCAAAAAAAAAAAAAAAAAGGCCTAAAAAAAATAAAATGTACTTTGGCAACATTATTTTTTTATTTTTCTTGTGAAAAAAAATAAAAAGTAATACAACAAGCAAAAGAAAATGTAGTACAACATCTTCTTCTTTTGTCAAAAAAAAAAAAAAAAGATAATCAACAAGTATCATATTTTTCTTGTAAAAAAATTAAAAGATAGCACAATAAGTATTTCTTCTCAAAAAAATAAAAGGTATTTCTTAATACAACCTAGGAATAAATATTCTAATTATATTTTTTATTTTTATAACATGATGGTCTTTAACATAAATTTAGTAATATTAATTTAAAGATAGGATTCATA